CAGGTAAAGTATCTAAGACTTTACAAATTAACAATAAATCTGGCAACTTTTCCATTTCTTCATCCTTTGTCAATTCTACATTCAAATCATTCCAAATGTTTTTTAGTTTTGATAAATGGCTGGCCATATCATCTCCAACTTGACGTTTATAACCAAAAAATCTCATACAAAGATCGTAAGCCTTGTCCTCACAGACGCCTTCAAATAATCTATGTAATTCTAACCAAACGTCTCGTGCTGTCGTAAAACGCATGACTTTCTTTAAGGTTTCTTCAGACAAATTGCAAGTTAGAACTAACAAGGCACTACTGTCGTAATTAGTAAAATTTAATAGTTCTTTCTCATACCTTGTTCTTTCTTCCTTTGAAGCGTCGGAATCTAATTCTTCCGGTTTCAAAATTTTTCCTTCAACAACATCCATTGCACCAGGAATACTCCTTAACACGATGCAAATTTTATATTTCCAAGTCGACCAGTTAGACTTGCCTTCTAAATATCCAATGTGAAGTCTAGAAAGTTCCATCGCACAGTTAAAGCGATCTGGGCCCATAACCTGTTGAAACTGGATGATTAAATCTGCAACAGACACTGTTATAACTAACAATAAACTTTAATTTACACAAAAGAAGGAACACTACAACTTCACACATTTGAAGAGAACGAAAAAGGCGGGAAAAAGACAAAGAAGTAGAGGGAGCTCACAGCAAAACGATCGGTGTTGCCACCTATAGACAGATCATGAAAATGTAGAAAATTTATTTTTCCAACATGATTGCATCCCCAGTTGGCACCGTAATAACTGTCGATGGTTATATATACTGGAAGAGGAGATTGGACTGAAGATCCAGGTAGCGTAACTGGCAATGCATCCACACAGTTAGCGGGAGTTGAGGGTTTGAGTCCCTCTTTGGGCCAATACTTTTCTTCCAGTTTAATCTAAAGTAATTAATTAAATATTATAATTATTTATTTTAATACTAGATAGCACCTAATGCCTCACTCTAGTGCCAAATTCATTTTTAATTTATAATCATTATATCCAAATTTAGCCCGATCATTTACGGCAGTTGTGGGTGTACATTTTAATTGTAAAGATTTTAAAGTTACTGGAATTTTAATTTTGATAAGAAAATTTTAAATTTCTTATCAAAACCTTAATATAAAAAAGAATTTAAATATTTAAATATTGTTTATTAAATACAGAGTGATTATAAAGTCTTAATTCAATTTTGTGAAAATGGTAACAAAATTATTTGTATGTAGGTCATGTAAAATTTGCTGATCCAAGAAGTATAGAATCACTGTTGTTTGCACATGTTTTAGTGGATTAATGAACACAGAAGTACAGACAAACTTCACCCAGAAATTCAGGAAGTTGCTCCTACCAAGACCAATAACAAACTGTTGGTTACCAGATTCATGTGAATGAGTAATGTACAGTACATAATGCACAGTCTTCTGAGAAACTCCCCATATCAGATGAAACAGTTAAATGTGTAGAAACTGCAGTAACAGTGTCTACATTATTAGAAGACTAAGCCAGGTAGGTGCTCATTGTGCACAATCAACAATGTGGAAAATCATTACAAACTCATAAAATGTGCATAGAAAATATATCCAGGTGTTACATAAACTGGAGGAAGAGAATGAAGTCTATTCCACCTACTAAGCAATATGTCATGATCTGTTGATTTGATGTATTTCCATGTATGTTAATCATCTTAAACATGTGCAAGCCACAGTGATTCTGTTCTTTGGACAGTATGCTTCACACAACTTGCAAATTAATGATTTTGTTACCATTTTCACAAAAAATGGATTGAGACTTTATAATTACCCAGTATTTAAAAATAATTAATTTAAATAATAACAAGCTATTATTTATTGTGACATCGTCACAATGCTGGGTTGAAAATTTTAATCATATTTTTAATTTATTCAATTTAAAATATATGCTCTCCACCTCAAATTAGTAGTATCTTGTCCTTGTACATAATACTTTTCCTTTTAGCAAAAGTCATGCTGGTCATCTATTAACTCTTTTAAGGGGAAGTTTTGAATTGAAATAATATGACTTCTAGTTTGCATCAGATGTTTGTGTATACAGTAGACCCCCCTATAACGCTTAGATACGTTCCACGCTAACCGAAAATTACGTTGTAGGAATGATTAAATACATGAGCCAATCGCAGCCCGATAGGTGGGAACTTTACGGACTAAGGCTGTTTGAAAGGTTTTCTTCTATAAAATTAACCGATTCTAGACTAATTCNCTTCAAATATACTTTGTCTGTCGAAATGTCTGTGCATCTGTCTTTCCTTAACTTGACTTTTGGAGACATAATTATTATAAATAATCTTTATGGCCGATAAATAAGAAATGTTTTTTCACATAAAATGTATAAAATTAGTGCTGTATTAAACTTACAATACCTAATTTACATACTGTACAGACGATAATAAACTCAACTTACTAGCCTAAAATATCAGTAGCGTGACGCCAGGCGGCGGAGAGCATATATATAATAATAATAAAGTTACAATAAATTAAGTTAATATATAATTATATATACAGTACATAATTTATATATAATTAATATATAATTATATGTACAGTACCTAATTTATATATAATTTATATATAATACTGTACAGACGATAGCAAACTCAATTTAGCTGCTCCGTAGCGTGGCGCAGGGTCGGAGGAAAGTAGTTCGGCTTCTCATCCACTATTGGTCCAGACTCTATCAATCTTGTCGCGAAACGACGTTATAGGAGGTACTTTATACGAAAGGTTCTACAATTTTTTCGCTACGTTATAGGAATTGTCGTTATAGGAACGTACGTTATAGGGGGGTCGACTGTAGTTAATTGGGGCTCCTGCCCCTAAGCTTTCCATATCTTGGTCTCAATGTTCATCTATCTAACATTGTTCTCGAGATTAAGGAAGGACAGACAGATGGATGACAGTGGGAATTTATAAGTCTACAATTTTTTCAAATTGCAGCCCAATAATCCATTTATTTTCTATGAAATTAAATTTATACATATTCTTTAATTATTGTCTTTGAAAATTTTGTATTATTGATAACTTTAGACTTATTCTTAATTATTAAATGACTTCAAAAGATCAGTATTGAAAAATTTCATACACTTTTGTTATTTCTAGTTTGTTTTTTATATTAAATATAATGAGGATAATTCATTATATTTTCTATAATGTAAATTACAAATTTAATTTTTAAAATTTTTTCAGGATATTTTCATATTTGGATGTTGTTTCTTTGTGTCGTTGTGCTCAAGTGTCTAAGGTTGGTTTATTTGCCTATTTATTTATTTACAAAGTTTTATTTGTTCTGATTATTAGTCATAAATTATGATAAAATTGTTTTAATAGAAACTTAAAAGCACCAACTAACACCTGTATTCCAATTAAAATGAACCAATTTATCATAAGAACAAATGTTTTCAACTCTCTTTTAACAGTCATCTTCAGGTTATGGAACATTACAGATATCAAAATTTAAATAAAATGAAACTTTTTGATAAGATTTCCATCGGATGGCAAAAATTTTTGTTTGTAAAAAAGACAGACCCTAGTCTACTTGATAAGTCTCATCAAGGGCTTTGTTTCACATTATCTTACACCAGTCAGTTCTATACAGAAAATAATCTGTTGTACAAGACTGTTACTTTACTTTTAACAAGATTCTCTATGGTACCTATGAAGAAATACCTCAGCTAGCTAACATTAATATTGCATTAAAGAGATGTCCAACAGTGTTTTCTTTGCTGAGGAAAGATAAAAAGACGTGATAAAAAGAATGATCTTTACTTCCTTGGCATTTACACAATTTCTATTTTTGATAACAGGATAAATGGCACTAAGAGTATATAGAAGCTTCCTGCAGACCATTGAATAATAGACTAAAGGAACATCACTACACCATTTGAAAGGATTTTGCACAATGGATCTTGTGGCCTTTGCTTATGCCAATGACATCTGAGTGGCCTTTGATAATGTGCATCTGTTAACATAGTACATCTGTTTCCTGCACAGATCAAATATCTTGACAACCTTGAAATTTACAAAGTGACTAAGAAAGGTTTTGCTGTTAATTTTAAGGACACATTTTTAGTATTGTTGCATGGAAGGCTATTTATGAACATTTATAATATTTATATTTTTAGTTATTTTAATTTTTCTTTCTACAATTTTTGTTTTTTATTTGTACTTATTCATTATATATGTACTGTACTTTAACTCCTGTTATATTGTTTTGTATTTTATTTTATTTTTCTTTAACATTCTTTTTATGCTTGCAACCACCATCACAAAATTAACAAGTTCTGTTTTATTTAAATTTTGTTTTTCGAATTTTGTTCTATGTAACATTCCATAACCTGAAGATGGCAGTTAAAGACAGTTGGAAACGTTTGTTCTTATAATAAATTGATTTATTTTAGCTGAATTACAGATGTTAGTTGGTACTTTTAATGTGTCTCATCCAATTTTGCAGTATCTTTTAATAGAAACTTAAATGATAATGTTGTGTATGTTCTTTAATTAATAAGTTATATGATATGAGAAATAAATATCATGCAGAAATAAACAAGCATTCTTCCTTCTGGAAAAGTCCATCAAATTAAAACAATCTGGGTTTTTTATTCTGCATTTGATCTTTTATAGAACATCTGAAGATGCTTGAAGTAATTAAAAGCAAAAGCAATTACTAATTTTTGAGTTTATGCATGTAACTTAAATAGTATAGTTGACAAATATGTAAATGTATTGCAGTCAATCTAATTTATTTTTATTTGTTAAAAAAATTCATTAAAATTTTAACTAACATAAATTTGAATGAATAAATTTTTGAATTAGAAAAAGCTTACTATGTGTACATTAAAGTCCTGATTATTCAAGGTATCTGTTGACTGAGATTACCTCAAATAATCAAACTCATAATATGGAAATGTTTAATAAACTAAATTTGGTTGCATTAGTGTGTATGATATACTTTGTTTTGATTAAACCTACTTATTGAACATAAGTTATACAATAAAACATTTATAATTTTAATTACAACTGTATTTATTAAAGTAAATGTAAACTTATGATTACAATTAAATTTTTAAAATTTTTTTTTAAACTTCACATTGTTGTGAGAAGTTGTTAGAGTAAATTCTTTTTAAAGCTTTAGAGTTCCTTTTGTATATTGCACATTGCCTGGCCAATATTTATGAAACAAACTGTACTTTATTACATTCTCTTCTCTTTATTAACAAAATATTCTTCCACAATTTTTGTTAGATAATTCAGAGCCTTGGTTAGATGGGTCTTGGTTAATTGAGATTCTATGGTATTTACAAGATGTTTGCTAAAATATTTAATTAATTGAAATGTTACTTTGAATTGTCTCTAATAATAAAAAATCAAAAATAAACTAATAAGTTAAGGAAACCAAAATGTTTATTAGAAAATAAATGTTTTGGACCAATTTAATCCATTATCAACTGGATTGTTAGATAACACATTTCTCCAATTTTTTCAGAATTATTGACCAAGTTTGCCTAAAGTCAATGTATATCAGATATATTACATAGTACTCAAATTTTAAGTTATTCATTCTTAAAGTACAGTTCTTATTTATTTTTTATTGATTTTAAATTTTATGAATATTTTAATTTTTATAATTTAAATTTCTAAATAACAATAATCAGGTCTGGTGATTGGGGTGGCCAGGGTAAATGCTTAACTTCAGTTTCATGCTTCTTGAACTAAGATCAAACAGCAATATGGATAGGAGCATTGTCATTCTGAAAGATTGCATTGTCATTTGGAAACAAAGTACAAAGTTTGGATCATGGGATAGAGTTGGTTACTCAGAATATGCAGATGCCTCTGGGCTGTTATTTTACCTTTGAGGATGACTATTGGACCCAACAAGTTGAATGGTATTGCACTCCAAATCATACAGGAATCTCAGCTATGCTTGACAGTTGGTTTCCAACTGTCCAGGAGATTACCAGATGCATCTTACAATCTTGACTGCAGTCAAATTGTAAGCTGCGTCTGGTTATCTCCAGATTGGAAGTTAGAAACACACTGAAAGTAGACTCGTCCGACCATATCACATGTTCCCATGTTTCCGGTGTCTGTGTTTTATACTCTTTGCCACTGCACATGTTGTTTGATGTTTCATGGTGTCAACAAAGATTTGGCTGTTGCAGCCATGCCATTGAAATTATCTTTATGCAGTGCTTATTAGATGGTTTGCACTGATACTGTTATCCTTGCATTTGCAGTCAATTTTGCAAATGGAACTGCTTAGATTTCTCGTTACAGTTTAATGAAGTTCTTTTCTGCCCTTCACATGCATTTTTAACTTTCAACTACAGTTGCTTGTTAGATGTTTTGCCTGTTTTTGCATACTAAGATGTGATCAAGGAAACAGTAGATTTTACTACACCCATCAACTCAGTAAGTCAGATCACAGAAGCTCCCTACTAGGTATGTACAGTACCAACCAGCACTCCCATTGTGGGCCTGGCTGAACCTACAGTGGACTTGGAAAAAGGTCTTCTTGATAGCCACAGTCTGGAGAGTTCAAAAAAATTATGGTGATCTACAGTCCAAGTTGTGATCAGTTATTTTCAAATTAGAAGTTATAAAATGCACATTCTGTCAGGCCAAATGCCAGTTTGCATTGACTGTTCCATGGTAATTCACATCTGAGAGTCAGTCATTTTAAAGTTTCCAGTAATAAGACTTTTTCTTTTTAATAAATCACAACACACCTCTGTTATTTTTCCAGAAATCAATTGAATAAAAGTACAAATGTTTTTGGTTACTTAGTGGCCTGCTTCAGGCTATTTAAGTCATTCAAAGGAGCATTTTGATTTTGTTTTACTGTATGCATTTCCAGCTTTTATGAGAAATACTTTACTTTTTTTTGAGTGTTTTGTTTGTTAATTTTTCTCAAGTGAAACATAATGTATATTAAAAAAAGGAAATAAGATTCGTTTGAGATATGGCAATAGAACACATGGGTGATCTGCCAAGGTGTATGTCTCTTGGGTTGACTTTTATCGACAACTGGCCTCTATTAGATAAATGAAGAAATCTAGAAATTTCACATGGTCAGTCCATTGGAGAGGCATGAACCTGCAATTAACTAATAGTGTTTAATGGTTCTCCTTGACAAACTGAAGATCAGAATTGTGTAGTGACAGACTGCGAATGCTGGAGAAATTGTCACTTGAAAATTGTATGTGCTATGAAAGGCATGCATGCTGAAGTTGTTTAGCATTTTGCAATATTGATTCTATATATAATAAAAATTTTTTGAGTTACTCTTTTACATTCTACATGCAGTTTTATATTTTTTTTGTTTATAGTTGAAAAATTATAGGACATGAAATACAATTTAGAATTATTTTGTTTATTGCTTATTGCATTAATGTATTTAAAGAGTAATATTTACATAAATAATAAACATCTTATAGCCCAATGAGTATATAATGAAATAACCAACAATCACCTGAAAGAACTGGCTAGAATTTGGCTAATTAAATGATTATTATAAAGCAATTTGACACTAGAGGGAGGTGTTAGGCACCATCTCTTGATTAAATTAATAATTATAACTTTAATAATTTATTAAATAAATGTAGAACCTTTGGAATAAAAGAATTGACCTGGGGCGAGGCTTGAACCCGCAATCTCCACTTGCTGTGCCTGTTGCACCACTCGGACCCCAAGCAAGTCGTTGTTTCCAGAGGTATATTAACTTTAGATATAACCTTACTTGGTTTAATTAGCCACATTCTAGCCTGATCTTTCAGGTGATCATTACTTATTTCAGTAATATTTACTTTATACATCTGTATTTCTGGTAAAAACTTCTATTGTAACTGTATTTATCCTTAGCAGAAAAATTAATCAAGAATTTTTTACAGAATCAAATTTTGTTTGTTTTTAGTTTGATATTTTCTTTGTGAAGTTTAATACATTGATACATATAGAAAAAAGTATTTCATTGAAATTTTTCACACACTCAATATAATTTAAAATTTAAGGTAGTCCAAATATTTATAATTCAAGTATTTTATATTCATCATTTAATAAAAATGTCTTAATACTTATACAGTCATAAACTAATAGTGTTTGAAATATTAAAGTAAATTTTATATAGAAAGTTTTCTTTATTCCAATACATAATGTGCATCATAACTGCTGGTCTCATATTGTAAGTTTCCAGCTGTGGCATTATAGAAATAATGATAGTGTGTTAAAGACTATCTATAAGAGTTAAAATCTTATTTTGTAATTTTTAAAATATTAAAATAAAAGTTAATTTAATTAATATTAAAATTTAAAAAATAATATGTTTTAAATTTGTCATGATTGAAATCCATACTATTTTTTTGTGCTTTAGAATGTTTTAAAAGAATGAACCAAATTAGAATGTAATGTTTTTCTTTATTTAAATTTTTACTATTATAACTCTAATTATATAATTATACTTCTAAAAATGAAGATATATACAAATAATACAAAATTTGAATTTAAAGTGATAGTTTTGAATTTGGTAAAAAAAATATTTATATGTAATCATAAATTTCATTTAGATATAGTAGAAAAATAATTTTTCTTTGTATAAATGAATTATGCAAATATATTTGAATAGTATAAACGAAGAAAGTTTTTTGCTTACTTTTATGAAAATAGTAATCTCTTAGTAATCATTTATATTCTAAATAAATTTTTAGAAATGTTTGAATTTGTTTTAGGTCTGTAATTTATATTGTCAATAAATTGTAAAAAAATTGATGATAATAATTTTCAATTTTTATATTTAGGCTTGGAATGTGTTAGCACTTGATGGTAGCAACTGGCAAAAGATTGATCTTTTCAATTTCCAACGAGATATTGAGGTAAACAAAGTTTTAATCTTAAGTCGAAATATCATATCTGAATTATTGTAATTTTTTTAGCATTATAAGTATTAATTTATACATTAGGTCTTTTGAGAAATAAGAATGCGCAAAATGAAATAAATTTGAAATTATTTTTGATTAAAAAAATAAAGTTTATGATTAATGTTTTTATATATTGTTAGTGTTTTGAGATTTTAGAATTTAATTTAACATAAATCTTAATCAAAATTGACTTTATTGTTTGTAAAGCAATAAATTATTAAAGCAACAAATTATTGCAATAAATTATTAAAGCAATAATTATTGCAATAATTTATTGCATTATTTATGCAATAAATTATTATTAAAAATTTTTGGAGTTTAGCAATATTTTAGTATCAGAATGCACATACACAAAAATGCATAGAAGAACATAAATGTGTGCATGGGTGCATTTACAAAAAAGCTACCTGTTCATTAATAACAGATTGTTGCTTATGAAAATGAAATCCACTTATTACTTTGATTATTAATGAAATTATTTTAAAATTTAGGTATTAAAATTATTTAATCACTAGTCCCAGAAAGAGAATATGGATAATTTTTCAAACTAAATACTGTAAATTAATAAATAATAACATCTCAAAGCCCAAGTAGTATACAATAAATATCACCAAACGATTGCCTAAATATTGGGCTATAATAAGGCTAATTAAATGATTGGTATAAAGTAATTTGACACTAGAGGTAGATGTTAGGTGCCATCTCTTAAGTAAATTAATAATTATAATTAAATAAATAAATTATTAAATAAATTTAGAACCTTCTGGAATAAAAGAACTGGCTCATGGGTGAAGGAGTCATCCCCAGTCAGTGCTGTATTTAACCAAGTAAGGTTATATCTAATGTAATATACTTCTGGAAGCGATGACTCACTCGGGGTCCGGATGGCATAACTGGCAAGTGCACCGCACGGCAAGCGGAGGTTGCGGGTTTGAGCCCCGTCCCAGGCCAGTTCTTTTATTCCAGAAGGTTTAAAAGGTCCAGAAGGTATAAATTTATTTAATAATTTATTTATTTAATTATGATTATTAATTTACTTAAGAGATGGCGCCTAACGTCTACCTCTAGTATCAAATTACTTTATACCAATCATTTAATTAGCCTTATTATAGCCCGATATTTAGGCAATCGTTTGGTGATTTATTGTAAATTAATAAATTATTACTAAAAAAGAAACCTTTGTATTTACTTTACAGAATATTGGCTAATTAATTATATTGTAAATGACTATGTTTTATTTTATTATATTAAACAATAAAATATTTTTGTCATTTTTCCATTTATTGTAAAAATTATTTGTTGATTACAGTTATATTGAGATAATGTTTATTTTAATTTTGTGAATAAAATATATTTGAAAGTTTTCTTTTTGAATTTATTTGATTGACCATAATTTAGGGTCCTGTAGTAGAAAATATTTCTTTACGCTGTGGAGGATTTTTAAAAAAATTAAGTCTTCGTGGATGTAAAAGTGTAGGTGATGGAGCATTAAAGTAAGTGATTAATAAGATAATCAATTACATATAATCTTATTAAAAAATTATTTTAAATTCTTGGAAAGGACTATAAATATGAATCTTATTTCTTTGTACTCCAGAATGTTTAAAATATTTGTTCATATTTTAAAAATGAGTTCAAATATAATATAAATATAATATTTAAGTGATAGCTTCTATTAACTGTATGATTAACTGTATGGAAAGGTTGATTGGATACATATCAAATTCATATGGATATTTTTGATTTATGTATCCAGGTATGATGTGGGATTTAAAAAAACTGAACTGCACTTGCTGTTTAGCAAAAGCAGAAAGTACAGTTTTTTTTGCCGTCAAGGCATAAAGACTGTACTTTGCACTCAAATGTCTAAGACAGCAATCCTTGATGGATTGCTTGAGACTGCCTTAGATATTTGAGTGTCAGTCCGTCATATGATGATGAATTTTTTAAAACCAGATTGCTTGCTACAAGCAATTTTGTAATATTGTGTTAGTGTTATGCAGTAATTTGAGAAGGAACTTGAAAATTGAGCAAAAAGCAAACATTAAATTTTGTGGTAAAATTTGGAAAATTGTCAAAGATCCTTAAAATGCTTTGGGAGACCTATGGGAATTAGCCACAGGTGTTAGCACAATCTTTGAGACTCAAGAAGGCAAGTTGGTAGTGCAACAAAGAACATGTTAAGCATATTTTTTTTATTGTAAGGAGATTGTATATCAGGAATTTGTTCTTCCTGACAGACAGTGAATTCAGACTTTGACATTTTGAGGTGATAGTATGAGGTTATCAGTGCAAAAGATCAAAACTTTTCTGCAACCGAACCTTCATCACAACAATGCACAAACAGCCTTAAAATGTAAATGTTTTTGGCAAACAAGACTCTTCTCCCCTTTTAGTTAATTTGGAATTTGATACTAATGTTGCTTTTTTACTGCTAAATAATTACCATCAACAGTAAAGTTTTATCAAAAATAAAAGATTTCAGTTTGTTTGAAAAACCATCTTCAGGATATAGAACTGCTTTAAATAGAACATGGAAGCATTAACCTTTGAAATAAATACAAGCATTAGGCATGAGACACAGGTCCAACTGAGATTCAAAATAGTTTACAATATCTTGTAATGCTACTAACTATGACTGATACCCTTTTTTAGCTTCTTAGCACATACAACTGAATACAGTCTAAATGTGCTATCAGCTCATTTCATTTATAGTTTGAATTATAATTAATTTTATTTAATGCAGCAAAACCATCTTTCATTCCAAATTTTCCTTTCAATAACTGCTTGATTCTAACATTTTTAAAACAGTCTTGATAGCATGCTTTCATCTTCCTCTTATCAGAATTCAGCAGAGAACCTCTTGGTGAAAAAGTTTTCCATTTAGAAGCCATAAACTCTGCTTACCTGGAAAACAAATGTACACACAGAAATTCATCACATCCAGCACAGATAATTTCTCCATGTATAGAATTATGGGATCAAAAATATGTAAATGAAACATTTAAATAACATTTTTTATGTGCTTAATTATTGAATCATAATTTGTGAAGTTTATTATTCTTTAGTACATATTGATAAAAATAATTATTTTTCAGAACATTTGCTCAATATTGTAATCATATTGAAGAATTAAATTTAAATGAATGCAAGCAGCTAACTGACAGGTAAGATGAAAGAATTTTCAAATTATTAATAGTATTTTTAAAAATTTTACTGTTATTTAATATATAAGGGTACAATAAATATTTAATTACTGTTTAGTTAAATATTATTTTAGTTGTTGTTAGTATAATTAGTTGTCTCATAATTTTGCCTGTGTGTATGTGTGTACACTTTTAATTAAATTAATCATTTGATTTTTGTGGAGGTAGTCAGAAAATATGTTTCTCATACTCATATTTTTGAGTCAATGCACTTTTAGGGCACAACATATTGTATACTGATGATCATCCTTCTTGATATGGATTTTTGCTGTAAGGATGCAAGTTGCACATGAGCAACAGTAATCAGAAGTTATCATGAATGTGCATTGTGCACCCACCCAATATGATAAGGAATAAGACTGAACAGATGTGTGTTTTGACATGAAGGATGAAGTATGGGCTGTTGTCAGCTATGAATGGGCACATAGAATATATGGCATTGAGATTCATAAGTGGCTGGTGGAGGTTATGGAATAGATTTAATGTCAAAGCAAATGGTATGGTAATTATGCAGATAATTCTGTGATGGCTGTGAGACTGTTGGAGACAAATAGTGATCTGAACAGCTGTCAACATCCACTGGAGAGGATAACATTGTAACAATGGACACCATGATTTGTGCCAACGGAAGGTGATTAGAAAGATGTTGATGCAGAATTGAGTGTTGGCCATGCCTGAGCAAATCACCTGATCCATGATATGCTATATTACTGCAAAGTTTTGGCACAATAGATGCTTCAGCAACTCAGCACTGATTACAAGTGTGCTAGAATGAGCAACTGCTTGCATCTTGTGGTACAAGTGAGAAGGCAACCAGGTTTGCTTCCAGATTGTGTTGGGAGGAAAGCTGCATCCATCATTTTATCTTGGTGTTGAAATTTGCCTCCCTGGAGTGAAACTGTTTAGGTTCCTAGTCAAAACAAAGCAAGGTAGCTAAAGTGCTGTTGCTGGATTCCCTGAAAGATAGAACTATGAATATTAGCAGATATTATGATACACTGACAAGACTGAAAGCCGCTATTCAAAAAACAAGGCCATACCTTCTCAGTTCAGAGTTTATTTTTAATGACAGTGTGAGACTCACAGCAGCTGCAATAGCATTCTATGTTGCTAAATTTGATTGGGAATGTCTTGATCAACCCATTACAGTCTGAACGTAGTGCCCAGCAACTTACACTTTTTTCCAGCTTTGAAGAAGGCACTAAGTGTGTAACACATCATTTGATCTGCAGAATTAAACCTAATAAATGGTGTTATGTAAATGAAAGATGGGTTCATTTGATTGTCAGGCCTGGACTTCAGACATAGAGAAGCAAAAAAAATATCTATGTAGCAAACACACTCATTTGCAAATGATAAATAGACAAACAAATCACAATTTATCAAAACTCAAAAATATTTAATAAATACTTANGGAATTGTCGTTATAGGAACGTACGTTATAGGGGGGTCGACTGTAGTTAATTGGGGCTCCTGCCCCTAAGCTTTCCATATCTTGGTCTCAATGTTCATCTATCTAACATTGTTCTCGAGATTAAGGAAGGACAGACAGATGGATGACAGTGGGAATTTATAAGTCTACAATTTTTTCAAATTGCAGCCCAATAATCCATTTATTTTCTATGAAATTAAATTTATACATATTCTTTAATTATTGTCTTTGAAAATTTTGTATTATTGATAACTTTAGACTTATTCTTAATTATTAAATGACTTCAAAAGATCAGTATTGAAAAATTTCATACACTTTTGTTATTTCTAGTTTGTTTTTTATATTAAATATAATGAGGATAATTCATTATATTTTCTATAATGTAAATTACAAATTTAATTTTTAAAATTTTTTCAGGATATTTTCATATTTGGATGTTGTTTCTTTGTGTCGTTGTGCTCAAGTGTCTAAGGTTGGTTTATTTGCCTATTTATTTATTTACAAAGTTTTATTTGTTCTGATTATTAGTCATAAATTATGATAAAATTGTTTTAATAGAAACTTAAAAGCACCAACTAACACCTGTATTCCAATTAAAATGAACCAATTTATCATAAGAACAAATGTTTTCAACTCTCTTTTAACAGTCATCTTCAGGTTATGGAACATTACAGATATCAAAATTTAAATAAAATGAAACTTTTTGATAAGATTTCCATCGGATGGCAAAAATTTTTGTTTGTAAAAAAGACAGACCCTAGACTACTTGATAAGTCTCATCAAGGGCTTTGTTTCACATTATCTTACACCAGTCAGTTCTATACAGAAAATAATCTGTTGTACAAGACTGTTACTTTACTTTTAACAAGATTCTCTATGGTACCTATGAAGAAATACCTCAGCTAGCTAACATTAATATTGCATTAAAGAGATGTCCAACAGTGTTTTCTTTGCTGAGGAAAGATAAAAAGACGTGATAAAAAGAATGATCTTTACTTCCTTGGCATTTACACAATTCCTATTTTTGATAACAGGATAAATGGCACTAAGAGTATATAGAAGCTTCCTGCAGACCATTGAATAATAGACTAAAGGAACATCACTACACCATTTGAAAGGATTTTGCACAATGGATCTTGTGGCCTTTGCTTATGCCAATGACATCTGAGTGGCCTTTGATAATGTGCATCTGTTAACATAGTACATCTGTTTCCTGCACAGATCAAATATCTTGACAACCTTGAAATTTACAAAGTGACTAAGAAAGGTTTTGCTGTTAATTTTAAGGACACATTTTTAGTATTGTTGCATGGAAGGCTATTTATGAACATTTATAATATTTATATTTTTAGTTATTTTAATTTTTCTTTCTACAATTTTTGTTTTTTATTTGTACTTATTCATTATATATGTACTGTACTTTAACTCCTGTTATATTGTTTTGTATTTTATTTTATTTTTCTTTAACATTCTTTTTATGCTTGCAACCACCATCACAAAATTAGCAAGTTCTGTTTTATTTAAATTTTGTTTTTCGAATTTTGTTCTATGTAACATTCCATAACCTGAAGATGGCAGTTAAAGACAGTTGGAAACGTTTGTTCTTATAATAAATTGATTTATTTTAGCTGAATTACAGATGTTAGTTGGTACTTTTAATGTGTCTCATCCAATTTTGCAGTATCTTTTAATAGAAACTTAAATGATAATGTTGTGTATGTTCTTTAATTAATAAGTTATATGATATGAGAAATAAATATCATGCAGAAATAAACAAGCATTCTTCCTTCTGGAAAAGTCCATCAAATTAAAACAATCTGGGTTTTTTATTCTGCATTTGATCTTTTATAGAACATCTGAAGATGCTTGAAGTAATTAAAAGCAAAAGCAATTACTAATTTTTGAGTTTATGCATGTAACTTAAATAGTATAGTTGACAAATATGTAAATGTATTGCAGTCAATCTAATTTATTTTTATTTGTTAAAAAAATTCATTAAAATTTTAACTAACATAAATTTGAATGAATAAATTTTTGAATTAGAAAAAGCTTACTATGTGTACATTAAAGTCCTGATTATTCAAGGTATCTGTTGACTGAGATTACCTCAAATAATCAAACTCATAATATGGAAATGTTTAATAAACTAAATTTGGTTGCATTAGTGTGTATGATATACTTTGTTTTGATTAAACCTACTTATTGAACATAAGTTATACAATAAAACATTTATAATTTTAATTACAACTGTATTTATTAAAGTAAATGTAAACTTATGATTACAATTAAATTTTTTAAATTTTTTTTTAAACTTCACATTGTTGTGAGAAGTTGTTAGAGTAAATTCTTTTTAAAGCTTTAGAGTTCCTTTTGTATATTGCACATTGCCTGGCCAATATTTATGAAACAAACTGTACTTTATTACATTCTCTTCTCTTTATTAACAAAATATTCTTCCACAATTTTTGTTAGATAATTCAGAGCCTTGGTTAGATGGGTCTTGGTTAATTGAGATTCTATGGTATTTACAAGATGTTTGCTAAAATATTTAATTAATTGAAATGTTACTTTGAATTGTCTCTAATAATAAAAAATCAAAAATAAACTAATAAGTTAAGGAAACCAAAATGTTTATTAGAAAATAAATGTTTTTGGACCAATTTAATCCATTATCAACTGGATTGTTAGATAACACATTTCTCCAATTTTTTCAGAATTATTGACCAAGTTTGCCTAAAGTCAATGTATATCAGATATATTACATAGTACTCAAATTTTAAGTTATTTATTCTTAAAGTACAGTTCTTATTTATTTTTTATTTATTTTAAATTTTATGAATATTTTAATTTTTATAATTTAAATTTCTAAATAACAATAATCAGGTCTGGTGATTGGGGTGGCCAGGGTAAATGCTTAACTTCAGTTTCATGCTTCTTGAACTAAGATCAAACAGCAATGTGGATAGGAGCATTGTCATTCTGAAAGATTGCATTGTCATTTGGAAACAAAGTACAAAGTTTGGATCATGGGATAGAGTTGGTTACTCAGAATATGCAGATGCCTCTGGGCTGTTATTTTACCTTTGAGGATGACTATTGGACCCAACAAGTTGAATGGTATTGCACTCCAAATCATACAGGAATCTCAGCTATGCTTGACAGTTGGTTTCCAACTGTCCAGGAGATTACCAGATGCATCTTACAATCTTGACTGCAGTCAAATTGTAAGCTGCGTCTGGTTATCTCCAGATTGGAAGTTAGAAACACACTGAAAGTAGACTCGTCCGACCATATCACATGTTCCCATGTTTCCGGTGTCTGTGTTTTATACTCTTTGCCACTGCACATGTTGTTTGATGTTTCATGGTGTCAACAAAGATTTGGCTGTTGCAGCCATGCCATTGAAATTATCTTTATGCAGTGCTTATTAGATGGTTTGCACTGATACTGTTATCCTTGCATTTGCAGTCAATTTTGCAAATGGAACTGCTTAGATTTCTCGTTACAGTTTAATGAAGTTCTTTTCTGCCCTTCACATGCATTTTTAACTTTCAACTACAGTTGCTTGTTAGATGTTTTGCCTGTTTTTGCATACTAAGATGTGATCAAGGAAACAGTAGATTTTACTACACCCATCAACTCAGTAAGTCAGATCACAGAAGCTCCCTACTAGGTATGTACAGTACCAACCAGCACTCCCATTGTGGGCCTGGCTGAACCTACAGTGGACTTGGAAAAAGGTCTTCTTGATAGCCACAGTCTGGAGAGTTCAAAAAAATTATGGTGATCTACAGTCCAAGTTGTGATCAGTTATTTTCAAATTAGAAGTTATAAAATGCACATTCTGTCAGGCCAAATGCCAGTTTGCATTGACTGTTCCATGGTAATTCACATCTGAGAGTCAGTCATTTTAAAGTTTCCAGTAATAAGACTTTTTCTTTTTAATAAATCACAACACACCTCTGTTATTTTTCCAGAAATCAATTGAATAAAAGTACAAATGTTTTTGGTTACTTAGTGGCCTGCTTCAGGCTATTTAAGTCATTCAAAGGAGCATTTTGATTTTGTTTTACTGTATGCATTTCCAGCTTTTATGAGAAATACTTTACTTTTTTTTGAGTGTTTTGTTTGTTAATTTTTCTCAAGTGAAACATAATGTATATTAAAAAAAGGAAATAAGATTCGTTTGAGATATGGCAATAGAACACATGGGTGATCTGCCAAGGTGTATGTCTCTTGGGTTGACTTTTATCGACAACTGGCCTCTATTAGATAAATGAAGAAATCTAGAAATTTCACATGGTCAGTCCATTGGAGAGGCATGAACCTGCAATTAACTAATAGTGTTTAATGGTTCTCCTTGACAAACTGAAGATCAGAATTGTGTAGTGACAGACTGCGAATGCTGGAGAAATTGTCACTTGAAAATTGTATGTGCTATGAAAGGCATGCATGCTGAAGTTGTTTAGCATTTTGCAATATTGATTCTATATATAATAAAAATTTTTTGAGTTACTCTTTTACATTCTACATGCAGTTTTATATTTTTTTTGTTTATAGTTGAAAAATTATAGGACATGAAATACAATTTAGAATTATTTTGTTTATTGCTTATTGCATTAATGTATTTAAAGAGTAATATTTACATAAATAATAAACATCTTATAGCCCAATGAGTATATAATGAAATAACCAACAATCACCTGAAAGAACTGGCTAGAATTTGGCTAATTAAATGATTATTATAAAGCAATTTGACACTAGAGGGAGGTGTTAGGCACCATCTCTTGATTAAATTAATAATTATAACTTTAATAATTTATTAAATAAATGTAGAACCTTTGGAATAAAAGAATTGACCTGGGGCGAGGCTTGAACCCGCAATCTCCACTTGCTGTGCCTGTTGCACCACTCGGACCCCAAGCAAGTCGTTGTTTCCAGAGGTATATTAACTTTAGATATAACCTTACTTGGTTTAATTAGCCACATTCTAGCCTGATCTTTCAGGTGATCATTACTTATTTCAGTAATATTTACTTTATACATCTGTATTTCTGGTAAAAACTTCTATTGTAACTGTATTTATCCTTAGCAGAAAAATTAATCAAGAATTTTTTACAGAATCAAATTTTGTTTGTTTTTAGTTTGATATTTTCTTTGTGAAGTTTAATACATTGATACATATAGAAAAAAGTATTTCATTGAAATTTTTCACACACTCAATATAATTTAAAATTTAAGGTAGTCCAAATATTTATAATTCAAGTATTTTATATTCATCATTTAATAAAAATGTCTTAATACTTATACAGTCATAAACTAATAGTGTTTGAAATATTAAAGTAAATTTTATATAGAAAGTTTTCTTTATTCCAATACATAATGTGCATCATAACTGCTGGTCTCATATTGTAAGTTTCCAGCTGTGGCATTATAGAAATAATGATAGTGTGTTAAAGACTATCTATAAGAGTTAAAATCTTATTTTGTAATTTTTAAAATATTAAAATAAAAGTTAATTTAATTAATATTAAAATTTAAAAAATAATATGTTTTAAATTTGTCATGATTGAAATCCATACTATTTTTTTGTGCTTTAGAATGTTTTAAAAGAATGAACCAAATTAGAATGTAATGTTTTTCTTTATTTAAATTTTTACTATTATAACTCTAATTATATAATTATACTTCTAAAAATGAAGATATATACAAATAATACAAAATTTGAATTTAAAGTGATAGTTTTGAATTTGGTAAAAAAAATATTTATATGTAATCATAAATTTCATTTAGATATAGTAGAAAAATAATTTTTCTTTGTATAAATGAATTATGCAAATATATTTGAATAGTATAAACGAAGAAAGTTTTTTGCTTACTTTTATGAAAATAGTAATCTCTTAGTAATCATTTATATTCTAAATAAATTTTTAGAAATGTTTGAATTTGTTTTAGGTCTGTAATTTATATTGTCAATAAATTGTAAAAAAATTGATGATAATAATTTTCAATTTTTATATTTAGGCTTGGAATGTGTTAGCACTTGATGGTAGCAACTGGCAAAAGATTGATCTTTTCAATTTCCAACGAGATATTGAGGTAAACAAAGTTTTAATCTTAAGTCGAAATATCATATCTGAATTATTGTAATTTTTTTAGCATTATAAGTATTAATTTATACATTAGGTCTTTTGAGAAATAAGAATGCGCAAAATGAAATAAATTTGAAATTATTTTTGATTAAAAAAATAAAGTTTATGATTAATGTTTTTATATATTGTTAGTGTTTTGAGATTTTAGAATTTAATTTAACATAAATCTTAATCAAAATTGACTTTATTGTTTGTAAAGCAATAAATTATTAAAGCAACAAATTATTGCAATAAATTATTAAAGCAATAATTATTGCAATAATTTATTGCATTATTCATGCAATAAATTATTATTAAAAATTTTTGGAGTTTAGCAATATTTTAGTATCAGAATGCACATACACAAAAATGCATAGAAGAACATAAATGTGTGCATGGGTGCATTTACAAAAAAGCTACCTGTTCATTAATAACAGATTGTTGCTTATGAAAATGAAATCCACTTATTACTTTGATTATTAATGAAATTATTTTAAAATTTAGGTATTAAAATTATTTAATCACTAGTCCCAGAAAGAGAATATGGATAATTTTTCAAACTAAATACTGTAAATTAATAAATAATAACATCTCAAAGCCCAAGTAGTATACAATAAATATCACCAAACGATTGCCTAAATATTGGGCTATAATAAGGCTAATTAAATGATTGGTATAAAGTAATTTGACACTAGAGGTAGATGTTAGGTGCCATCTCTTAAGTAAATTAATAATTATAATTAAATAAATAAATTATTAAATAAATTTAGAACCTTCTGGAATAAAAGAACTGGCTCATGGGTGAAGGAGTCATCCCCAGTCAGTGCTGTATTTAACNTAGTTTACAATATCTTGTAATGCTACTAACTATGACTGATACCCTTTTTTAGCTTCTTAGCACATACAACTGAATACAGTCTAAATGTGCTATCAGCTCATTTCATTTATAGTTTGAATTATAATTAATTTTATTTAATGCAGCAAAACCATCTTTCATTCCAAATTTTCCTTTCAATAACTGCTTGATTCTAACATTTTTAAAACAGTCTTGATAGCATGCTTTCATCTTCCTCTTATCAGAATTCAGCAGAGAACCTCTTGGTGAAAAAGTTTTCCATTTAGAAGCCATAAACTCTGCTTACCTGGAAAACAAATGTACACACAGAAATTCATCACATCCAGCACAGATAATTTCTCCATGTATAGAATTATGGGATCAAAAATATGTAAATGAAACATTTAAATAACATTTTTTATGTGCTTAATTATTGAATCATAATTTGTGAAGTTTATTATTCTTTAGTACATATTGATAAAAATAATTATTTTTCAGAACATTTGCTCAATATTGTAATCATATTGAAGAATTAAATTTAAATGAATGCAAGCAGCTAACTGACAGGTAAGATGAAAGAATTTTCAAATTATTAATAGTATTTTTAAAAATTTTACTGTTATTTAATATATAAGGGTACAATAAATATTTAATTACTGTTTAGTTAAATATTATTTTAGTTGTTGTTAGTATAATTAGTTGTCTCATAATTTTGCCTGTGTGTATGTGTGTACACTTTTAATTAAATTAATCATTTGATTTTTGTGGAGGTAGTCAGAAAATATGTTTCTCATACTCATATTTTTGAGTCAATGCACTTTTAGGGCACAACATATTGTATACTGATGATCATCCTTCTTGATATGGATTTTTGCTGTAAGGATGCAAGTTGCACATGAGCAACAGTAATCAGAAGTTATCATGAATGTGCATTGTGCACCCACCCAATATGATAAGGAATAAGACTGAACAGATGTGTGTTTTGACATGAAGGATGAAGTATGGGCTGTTGTCAGCTATGAATGGGCACATAGAATATATGGCATTGAGATTCATAAGTGGCTGGTGGAGGTTATGGAATAGATTTAATGTCAAAGCAAATGGTATGGTAATTATGCAGATAATTCTGTGATGGCTGTGAGACTGTTGGAGACAAATAGTGATCTGAACAGCTGTCAACATCCACTGGAGAGGATAACATTGTAACAATGGACACCATGATTTGTGCCAACGGAAGGTGATTAGAAAGATGTTGATGCAGAATTGAGTGTTGGCCATGCCTGAGCAAATCACCTGATCCATGATATGCTATATTACTGCAAAGTTTTGGCACAATAGATGCTTCAGCAACTCAGCACTGATTACAAGTGTGCTAGAATGAGCAACTGCTTGCATCTTGTGGTACAAGTGAGAAGGCAACCAGGTTTGCTTCCAGATTGTGTTGGGAGGAAAGCTGCATCCATCATTTTATCTTGGTGTTGAAATTTGCCTCCCTGGAGTGAAACTGTTTAGGTTCCTAGTCAAAACAAAGCAAGGTAGCTAAAGTGCTGTTGCTGGATTCCCTGAAAGATAGAACTATGAATATTAGCAGATATTATGATACACTGACAAGACTGAAAGCCGCTATTCAAAAAACAAGGCCATACCTTCTCAGTTCAGAGTTTATTTTTAATGACAGTGTGAGACTCACAGCAGCTGCAATAGCATTCTATGTTGCTAAATTTGATTGGGAATGTCTTGATCAACCCATTACAGTCTGAACGTAGTGCCCAGCAACTTACACTTTTTTCCAGCTTTGAAGAAGGCACTAAGTGTGTAACACATCATTTGATCTGCAGAATTAAACCTAATAAATGGTGTTATGTAAATGAAAGATGGGTTCATTTGATTGTCAGGCCTGGACTTCAGACATAGAGAAGCAAAAAAAATATCTATGTAGCAAACACACTCATTTGCAAATGATAAATAGACAAACAAATCACAATTTATCAAAACTCAAAAATATTTAATAAATACTTATTATGAAAATAATTATGTACCTGTACAAATGTAGACCCAAAACATGAGACTAAGTAAGTTGTAATAATTTGCACAAATCAAAAAGTCATTAAAAAGAAAACCTCAGAACTATAACTAGTTCAATTCAAAGAACAAAAATCCAAAAAAGATAGTATTTATAAAACTTTCCTGACAGTTGAACTTAAGTCTAACTTAAAATTAAATTGCTACAAAAACGACAAAATCAAAGCACTTAAAAACTCTTAGAATTTAATTAAACAGTCTGTCATGCCAGGAATGTTAAAAGAATCCAATCTTTTTACCTTTTTCTTCTTACATAAATGTAAAATATACGAAAAAATTATATTTTTCTTTCTTTTCTGACTTTTTGGATATTATATAACTTCAAATCTTAAAACATTAAACCAATAATGACTAAAATTTTTTTAAAGTTAAAAGGTATAAAAAGAAAACAATTTGCAAAGAAAAAACTTTTATTTACATTACTAACAAGCTCCCCAAATGCATTTTGCCAAAGGCCTCTTCAGTGCGGCTAACAGTGTACTGTTAACTGTGTACTGTTAGCCCCACTGAAGCAATGGTAAGCAGGATTTGTAGGTTTGAGTCCACTTGGGCCAGTTCTTTTTTCTAGACTATTCTAAATTATTATAATTATTAAAATTAATAAGAGATGCACCTAAAGCTTATCTTTAGTAACAAATTACTTAAAAATTTAATTATTAATAGTAGCCAAAAAATAGCTCAATACATTACAGCAATCGTTTGGTATTGACTAATAACATAAGGTTTTGAGAGATTTATATAGATAACTTTGGAATGATATTTACTTAAGAAACACAAGATTACTAATAAAGTTTAAAGAGTCTCTATTTATTATGATTGTATTTATGTTAATGTATAAGTTGTCCTGACATATAAGCTAATATTAAGATTTTCAGTGCAAAATTTTGATTTTAATGTACACCTGTTATATAAGTCAGCGTCCAGACTAGAACTGAAATGTAGATAGGTATACAGTAATCTTTTGACGAAAGCATGTAAGGCTATACTAGATAATGTTCTTACCAAGTTCTTACCAAGGAAATTTGGATAAAGTCTGTTGGAGTTATACAATAAGTGTGTACAGTGATTTGTTAGGATGAATTATTTACCATTCTTGCATAGGTTTTGTATTTTATATCTGGCATGTAAGTTGACTGTAGTTTCAAGAGATTTTTTTCCCCCATGCTTAGAAAGTTCACTTATATGCCAACGTAATAGCAAATGATTTTTGGAGCAATCTACAAAACATCTTGTAATATTCACAAACTGGTGCTATTGTGTACATATATTATAAACTGTTTATTCTTTTTAACATTTTTAGCTGTTTGTGGCATCTTTAAGATCATATAAAACTGAATAAGTGGAATATCAATTTCCAATATTCCAATTATTCAGTTTTAGAACATTTTTTTGCTTCAAATATTTGTTTAATTAATTAATTTAAATTTGTAAATTCAAACATGTGCACATACATAAATACATGTTTGAATAAACATCAGGTTTTACCTAATACAGATTTAGGTTTATATAGTTTAGGACAGGGGCGTAGTCAGGTGTGTGACTAATAAATCTACAAAGTTCAGCAAATTTCTATAAATTAATTACTTTTGTTTTGTTCGAAAATTTGAAATTTTATTATAATTTTTTTACAAATGTTTTTACAAGTTTTTATTTTGCCTTTCTAATTTGGCGCCCTCATGATTCATGCACCTGGAGCAGTTTGCTCGCTCCAATTGAGCTAAGTCTGGTGAATAGGCGGGGTGTGGAAGCACACTAATTTGAGTTTTGGCGAGAAACTGTGTGACCATTTGGGACCGATGTGCAGGTGCGTTGTCATGCAGAAGGTACCAGTCTCCACTTTGCCAGATCTGCGGCTGTTTATGATGAATGGATTCCCTCAAACGACGTAAAATGTCCAGATAATGCTCCTTGTTTACTGTTCTGCCTTTGGGAAGAAATTCTGAATGAACAATTCCTTGAGAATCAAAAAGCACCTCCATCATGACTTTCCCTTTGCTCCGATCCTGCCGGAATTTCTTCGATCGTAGTGAGGAGGGTGATTTCCATGTTGAAGAAGCACGGTTTGATTGGATATCAAATAAATAACATCACGTTTCATCACCTGTTATGATGTGGTTCAAAAAAGCCTTATTGGCTTTGTCGATTAAATCACCTGATATTCTCATTCGTTCTTCCTTTTGTTCAGAAGTCAAAAGCCAAGGGACAATGTGCTGAGACACTTGGTGCATGTTAAGATCTTTCGTTAAAATATGCTGGCATCTAGTCTTTGATAAGTGAGTAGCCGCAGCAATTTTTTCAAGGGTTTGGTGATGATCTTTGCGAACACATTGAGAGACCAACTCAACATTTTCCTCGTTCCGTGAAGTCGAAGGTCGGCCAGAGCGTTCATCATCTGCGATGGATTCTCGGCCCTCTTTAAAACTCTGATGCCATTTGTACACCTTTGATTTGGCCATGGTAGAATCACCGTACACTTTTCTTAGCAATTTTAAAGTCTCCATAGGTGTTTTACCTAAACACTGATAAAATTTAATGTTGCAGTGCTGTTCTTGAAACTCCATTTTTATTACGTTGCAAAACAAAGGTAACTGAGCGAAACCAACCTGAACACGTAGGAGTGGTTTGGTAGAATCCATTTCATATGCTGTAACTTCAAATACATGCTTTTATTGTCATACATTACTGCAGTCCCCAAACTTTTGGATCGTACCACATTATATATATATATATAACTTTTATGCATATAAAACACTTACAGATCAAAATAAAACTTTCTATGCATATAACAGATTCAAATACACATAATCATCATAAACTCAATAACATACTACCTAATAATAGTAAAAAAGTTAAATGAGTAGACTTTATAGCATTTCATTTGTAAGTATGAGTTCTCCATAAGTCAGTTGTTTACTACTTGCCTGTAAATATAAAATTGTTTCAGAATTTTCCATTTTAAGTAATTTTATTTTAATAAACACTCAGTTAACTTATAAAATTACAGTAAGTTTTCTAATGTAATTTATACTGTGAGATTTTAAATTTTCCAGTACTTGCCAGAGTCTCAGCAAATACTGTCCAAAATTGATACATCTTGATTTAGGATCTTGCTCACAAGTTACAAATCTATCATTAAAGGCTATAGGGTGAGTAAATAGTTTTACATTTTTTCTTGAAATTATAATCAACAAAAATTAAAATAAAATTTCTTGAAAAGAAATACATATGTTTTTTTAAGTTAAAATGACATTGCTATTAAGATATTGATATAATCTCTTTTTCAGAAACAATGATTGATTTTTGTTGATGTTATATATTATATTATAGTATTATGTTATTGTTTATTATACAAATAAAGTAATATTACATTTGAATGGAAATAACTTATAATTAGCATTTATTAATTTTATCATTTTTTAACTGGCTTGTAAAATACTTGGATATATTTAATATGTTCTGAATAATAAACTACTTTATAATTTTTTTAAGCATAATTGAAATGATATTTCAACTGAGATGAAAAATAATGACACACGGAGTAATGACTAATACATAATTTATCTGAGAACTCATATTTTATGCTATGCATATAATATATCTTAACTAAATCTGCAGTTTTTTCATATTTTTGAAGAAGAGAAAAAATGTCTTACAGTGTTTTGAAATGACATATTTAATGAATGAAAAAGACAAGAGAAATGATCTTTTTTATCAGTTTCATTATTCAAATGAAAGTTCACTTTTTACTGTAAATACATTATTTTCATCTTTGTAATAAGTAACTGTATGTGTTTCCACTCTGGTCCAATTCTTTTCTTCCAGAAATGCTAAATTAAAATTAATTTATTATAATTATTAAAAAATTATCATGAGATCATATCGTAATTGCCTACCTGTAGACACTTTACTTTATATCTAATTATTAATTTAGTCTTATTCCAATAATTCTGATTGTCTACCTATAATAATGGTACATTATGTATCAGTAATAGATGTTTTTAGATATGTTGCTTGACAGTTCAATTGAGCCTTACTGGTAATGAACATTTAATTTAAACTCCATTTTTAATTTTTTAAAATGCCTTTTAAAATAACATTAAGGTGTAGCATTAAAAAATTTATTATAAATACAGAAGAGCTCATCAGTTCTATTTCCATATTTCTTAGCATTTTGTATTATTTTTCAAACTTGTTGTTACTTAAAAAAGCTTAAAATTTTTTCCTTTATACAGAGAGATCTTAACATTTGATTCCAAACTCATGAAGCATCTTAGAATCAAGAAAATCAGACAGCAATATTTTTATATTTAAAATTATTATATTTTACTAAATGATAAGTTAGTTAAAATCTGACTCAACTAAAAATAATTCATTACTATTTCAAGCTGAGAAGAAAATTCTAGTTTTGTATCAAGTTGTTTGAAATATTTTTGTTACTGTCTTAGATTTTGCAAGTTTTTTTCTGTATTACAAATTTTTTAAAATCTTTGAAATGTTTTTAATCTCTTATTCATGAATGCTGTTTTTTGTTATTGTTTGATATAAGTTGATAGCTTTTCAACGAGTTCTGATACAATGCTACTTAGAACAAGTTTTGTGACTAAAGTAAGCATAAAAAAGAATTTGTATATCTTCTTATGTATATTTATATTTTCCATAAAATTATAATAATTTGCAATGGCAATTAGATTTCATTGCATCTGTATAGCTGTACTCTGTACAAATATATTAGAAATTTATTTCTATTTTTTCCTTCTGTTAATACTACTAAATATTTTCATTGAGACTTTTTTCAATTTTAACTGTTAATAGAAGCTGTAGTAGCTTTTATTACACTTTGCTAGCTATTTGATATTCTATACAAAGTTTATCTGCAAAAAGTAGGAATCCAACAAATTCATTTCTTTTCTTTCATAAATCAAATGATTGTGATATTTGGAATAATTTTTTTCTTTCTCTCAGCTAACTATATTTTATTCTCTTTTTTGCATATCTGTTTAATAAGTTGAGACAGAAAAACTGAAAATAATTGAAAACTTTTTGGATTCTTTTTTTGTTATAATATTTTAAGAACTTCATAATTTTTATATATGTTACTGTGAAAGACCAAAATTAGAGAATGTCAATATTCTCTGGTGATTGTCGACACATACAAAATATGTTGGTGAAAGACTGNTGTTTCTCCAACGTAGCTTTTCCGTTCTGTGCACGTACACATCAATTCATATACGACTTCTGCAACTTCTAAAGGATTCTTCGATTGTTTTTCATTTGCTTTATTAATCAGACAAATACTGTTATTTAATTTATTTTTTTGTTCACCTACTAAATTGACTGAGAACAATTCTTTAATATAAGTTTTATATTTTTCATAAAATTTAAAAATATATGGAATTTTAATATATAAGTTTTCTATTTTATTATTTTTAACATTATATCTTATAATAGATTCTTGCTGAAAGCTGCATAGAGAAACAAAATCAAGGAAATTATAATCGCCTATTTTAATTTTATAAGTTCTTAATAGAAAATAATTGTTAAACCAAGAAGTGCTGGATTAATATCATATTTACATAGTAAATTAAGAAGGATATTAGGTAACACAGAATTAAATACACTGGTTATATCAATATATACTATGTAACATGGCTGCTTATTTTTGAAATCATTAATTATGTAAGACAGAGTTTGCAATAAATTTGTTGTTGTTGAATGGTGGCATATGTCAGTGTTGAAAAGGAAGGAATTTACTAGATAAAGGAGAACTAATTCTACAAAATATACAGTTTCAAAAAAATCTTTAACATTGTGTGGGAAAGAGTTATAGGACAGTGTTTTTTTTTTTTTAAATTGGAATAATTATTGAGGAGATTCATTGATTGGGAACTAACTAGGTTGAACATAATGAGAAAAAGTTTGGAGAGTACAACAGCAGAAAGATACACAGATTTATACAATCCAGCTGGAATATAATCTGGATTAAAAATAGATATATTAAGTAAATTAATGGCATACAAAACTTCTGCAAGTGAAAAGGAAAACTTATATAATTGCAAAGAAAAAAAAGTGGTTTGTAATGGGCTTTTAGAATAATATTACCAAGTTTTTGTTTAAGATTTAGATAGATATCATATACTTGATTATCATGAAACATAAAAGTCTTATTAGGCATATTCTTAGAAAATTTGGGTATAAAAGCCAAGAAAGCCTTGGGATCAGATGCAAAAGAATTGACTATTCTATTAAAATAGTTAATATCATAAGGAATGTTCCTTGTCTTGTATTGTTTTTGTTTAATGCGATGTAAGTATAGGTTTCTCAGTTACCAGATTTTTTCCACTTGTACTATTATTTTCTAAAAGTATTATGTAGTTTTTTAACATGAACAGAAAACCATTTATTTGAAGAAATGTCAATTTTGCAAAATTTTTTATATTTTTTGATGGTTGTACTTGAAATATTATAAGTGAATTTGGTAATAATGGAAACTGGCAAACTTGAAGATTCTAAAAATGATCAATCTATAGAGCATAAATATCTAGAAGCAAATTTTTGATTAAATTAACACCAAATGGAAACTTTAACGAAAATGCTTAGTTTTACAAGTTTCAGACTAAATTGAGACATTTGAACAAACAGCTGAATGATCAGAAGAAAAATCATTAGTAAGGGAGGCAGTTACAGTACAATTATTAAAAAATGCTAGATCAGTGTTTTTCAACCTTTTTGAATACGCGACCCCTTTACAAGTTAAAAAATTCTGGCGACCCCCTAGGGCCATATTAAAACTATATCAATGATTTTAAAAAGTATGTATTTAATTTTCTTTCTGTTGAGACAAATTATTGTTGATTAAAATTAGAGTTTCAGAAGAATCGACAATAACTTAACACACGTAAAGTATTAAACACTTTCTTTAATTATAACATTGGGCTCAGGGAGCTGTTGACCTTTTTTTAGGATCAGAATTTTCAGCTTCTACTTTTCTATTTTTATTTCTTTTTGCAAGTCAGCTCAACACTTTTTCGGCTATCATTTTCTGGGGTGGGCCGTATCCACCCAGGTTCCTCCCTGGCTACACCCATGGTTGAGACGTAAACATTGATAAAAAAACCAATTGTACTGTAAAATAAACAGGTCAACCTTCTCGCTGAAATTGTAGTTTTTTTTAATATAGTGTAGGACCTACAAACACTTGTCTTTTTCTTTTACCCACGACCCCCAGGTTGAAAAACACTGTGCTAGATCAAGATAAGAATTGCCATGAGAAGGAAATGAAATCGCTTAGGGAAAGTTAAAAAAAAAAAAAAAAAAAAGGCTTCAGCAGGATTGAAATTACAATAACATGGACCAGAAGTAGTCCAGTAAACATTGGATAAGTTAAAATCACCACAAAGAATAAGTCTCTGGTTACGTATAGGTTTGAGAAAGTGCTGTAAAGTTTGAAAAATACTTTTGTTTTGTTTTAGGATGAGGAACATAAATTGAAATAATAATCAAATGGAGGTCTGGAATGTCAACAGCTAGAATAGAGTCCCAATATTCAAAGATTTTAATTACATGAAGTGATTAAATAATCTACACCTAAATGTGATTGCCAGCACATAATAAACACAAATTTACTGCTTGAACATTTTTGGCCGTCATTTAGAGGCCCTCTTCTGGATTAAATGTACAGTAATACCCCAACTTACGCTACCTCGACTTACGCGAAGCCAGAGTTACGCGATTTTCAAATCTCGTCGATTCGTCTTTTGTTTGAGCGCCATGCAACCCTTGATTACTCACTCCCCCCACACTATTGTTCAGCTTACATGTTCGGATATATCACACGGAATCCACACATAGCTACAATTTATTTTGTGTTATTTATTTCTGTGTTTGTTATATCTACGGAGACTTGAGAGACTTTGCTATGTCATCCAAATGAAGTAGAACTAATTCTTCTGCATCAAACAAGAAAAGAAAAACTTTATCTTTGGAATGTAAAGTTAACATTGTGTATGTTCGTAAAGTTGAACGAGTTAAGCGAGAATGACGTCATCGTTATTCCTATTTCGTTAGACTTTTCGAACGATTCGTTACTAACACGTTTAACTCGTTATTATTAAAGACTTTGATACAAAAATGAAAATTTGTGAATTGG